ATCGACATATATGTATACACCATTGTTACTGCACTGTCCTTCACGAAAGAAAGAGAAAGAGAGGTCCATATAACTACTTAATTCCAACAAAAAATAAATAGATAAACAAATTTCTAAAGGCCCTCTAATAGTCTAATCTCAAGCATAAATACGAGAATCAGAATACCGATTGCCTTAGAATTTTCAAGCCATCCTTGATGTTCGACATTGTAAAATGTGTATAAGAAACTTCATTTCTAGAACATCAGTCACTTGTTGGCAATCACCAACAGAATTCTCAATGATTACTATACTCAGGAAAATAAAAGACAACCATAACTATCAGCGATTAATTGTAAAAATATCTCACCATCTAGATATTTCTTCTCAGTGTCCACACCAATCCAATAATTTTTCATGTTAAAGGCAATTTGATGGAATTAGTACATCATACATACATGTGTGTGTATAAATACCATTATTACTGCAACGTGCTTTATGAAAGAAACAGAAAGAGAGGGTCATATGACTACTTAATTCCAACAATAAATAAATAAATATGCAGCTTTCTAAAGGTCCTCTCACCATAAATAGGGAAAATAAGAACGTCTGTTGCCTTAGAATTTTCAGGCCATCCTTGATGTTCGACATTGCAAAATGAGTATAAGAAACTTGATTTCCAGAAGATCAGTCACTTGTTGGCAATCACCAAAAGAATTCTTCCAAGAGAAATCTCAATGTCATTACTGAGAAAAAAAAGAGAACTACAAAATTAAGGACAATTTGATTGCAAGTAGTATATCATACACATATGTATGTATATATCATACACATATGTATGTATATATCTATATATGCATGTATGCGTGTGCATATATATACCACCGTGTTTCTTGAAAGAAAGAGAAAGAGTGGGACATATGACTACTTAATTCCAACAATAAATAAATAAATAAGCAGCTTTCTAAAGGTCTTTTCACCTCAAACATAAAAGGGAAAATCAAAACATCGGTTGCAAGAGAATTTTCAGGCCATCCTTGATGTTCCACATTGCAAAATGAGTATAAGAAACTTGATTTCCAGAAGATTAGTCACTAGTTGGCAATCACCAACAGAATACTTCCAAGAGATATCTCAATGATAGTATTACTGAGGAAAACAAAAGAAGACTATAACTACTAGCGATTAATTGTAAAAATATCTCACCATCTAGATATTTCTCCTCATTGTCCACACCAATCCAATATTTTTTCAAAATCTCAATGATTGCATTACTGAGGAAAACAAAAGATAGTTATAATTATCAACGATT